CATTTTTATTTCAATTATGCATTGAAACCACTAATGTCTAGTGGTCAAAAATTACTTTCAGAATTCACAGCACATGTGGTAAATAATTTATATCCATAATATATAAAGAACTCTTACAACTCAATAATAAGAAGGTAAACAACACAATAGAAAACATTTTTTGACCTAAGACTTGAACAGACATGTCACAAAATAAGATACATGAACAACCAACAAGCACATTATTAGTCATCAGGGAAATATAAATTAAAACCACAATGGTACTAGTATACCACCACACACCTATTAGAATGGATAAAATGAAAAAGAATGACATGGTGAGTGTTGGGAAAGATGTGGAGGAACTTGAACTGTTTATAAAAACACCACAATGTTGAAGTAGTTTATACAGTAGGGTAAATTCAAATTTCAGTCCCCGAATTCCCTGAGTTTAAGAAATGTCTGAGACAGGTACATAAAAAGATGTTCAGCAGTACTAATCACCAGGGAAATGCAAATGAAAACCACAAGGAGATATTACCTCACATCTGTTAGAAAGGCTATTATCAAAAAAGCCAAGAAATAAGTGTTGGTGAGGATGTGGGTCTCCATGTGCACTCCTGGTAGGAATGTAAATTGCTGCAGTCGCTATGGAAAACAATATGGAGAGGTTCCTCAAAAAATTAAAAACAGAACTACTATATGATCTACTTTTGGGGATTTATCCAAAGAAATGAAAACACTACCTCAAAAATAAATATGTGCCCCAATGTTCATTGCAGTATTATTAACAACAGCCAAGATATGGAAAACCTTAAGTGCCTATCAATAGATGAATGGATATAGAAATTGTGATATCTCACACAATAGAATATTATTGAGTCATACAAAAGAATGAAATCTTGCAATTTGTGAAAACATGGGTGGACCTTGAGGGCATTATGCTAAGTGAAATAAGGCAGACAGAGAAAGGCATGACCTCATTTACATGTGGAATAAAAAAAACCAATATAATAATAAACAAGCTCATAGATACAGATAACAGATTGGTGTCTGCCAGAGGTGTGAGCGAAATGGATGAAGGGAGTCAAAAGGTACAAACTTCCAGTTTTAAAATAAATAAGTATAAGGGATGTGATATAGCTTGGTGACTATAGTTAATAATACTGCATTGCATATTTGAAAGTTGCTAAGAATAAATTTTAAAAGTTCTCATCAGAAAAAAATGTGTAATGTGTATGGTGATGGATGTTATTGTGGTGATCATTTTGTAATATCCAATCATCATGTTGTACACTAATATAATATGTCAATTTTACCTCAAAAACAATTTTTGAATGTCTTGAATCCCAGAAGAAATGACTCACCATACCATATATCATCTTGGTTACCTGCTACAGCCTACAACCAACATGCAATGCTAAAAAAGTTATCGCAATTGCTCTGAAAAAAAAAACCCAGAAACATAAAAACCAAAATAAACATTTCATAAAAGCTCATTTAGCATATGCAGTTGAGAAAAATTTTAATCATATACACACATTAAAAAAGAGACTTAGAAAAATAACTGAGAATAAAAAGGAAGGAAGGAAGGGGAGAAAGAAAGGAAAGAAAGTCAGGCCAGCCATAAAATTAAACTGAAAGAAACTTGAAAAGTTTCAAGTTTTGATTATATTTCAAGACTGAGGATAATAGAAAGCATTATTGCTCTTCTTATATGTTCAATATTTTAATATTAACAGCCAGGTTCTTCTTTCACTTGTGGCTTGAAGGGGGAAATGGTTAATATTCAGGACATGATTTGACATAGTATGACAGGACCCATCATGACAAAAAATAGATTCTTCAGCCACAACCCCTTCCCTCTTCTCAGGACTAAGGGGTATTAACTAGGCCAGAACACCACCTCAGCTACAGGGATCCCCTTCATGTTTTTTAGAGATCCAGAGTTACTGAAGATCCTCTCAACCCACCCATAAGAGCAGACTTTAGAGGTCCTGGGAGGAAAGGAGGCAAATTTTCAAGCTGTTATAAACATAGTTCCTAATGTAGTATTGTTGACTTCTAACAATAGATCTTCAATTCACTAGTCAATGCTCAGCTTAAATATTAAATATTAGCCCCTTTGCATCACCACCTGCACTCTTGTATGGGTGTGCAGAGAACCTGCACCTCCAATAGAGTACTTATGGACTCTGCCCATTATTGTAGTTAGTTGTTCATGCATTTAATTGCCCTACTTGATGGTGAACTGTTTGAGACTCTGTCTTGGTAATCACCATATTCTTACACTATTTATCTCTGTGCATTCACATTAAGTAGACAGGTCTCCAAAAGTATTTGGTGAATAAATTTCATCAATCCTCTGTGCTTCTGTTATGATTACCGTTTCTGAATCTAAAATACGCTTCTAAAAAAGGAAAGTAGTGATAAGATTACATATAGTTTCAACTTCTGTCTAGCAGACTTTCTTCTCCTAGTTTATGCGTATTTATAAAATAGGGCTCAAGGAAACTGATAAGCAAATTTCCAACAAAAAATCTTTGTATAAGCATGACATCCATTTCTCATTGTTCCAAATGTAACAAGGATCCATAGTTCTTCTGTGTAAGTCATTTTAAGGTCAAACAACCAGAGTAAAAGCAACTCTTAGGTCATGACTTTGATCATAAGTACAATCTAATATAAACATGATCTAATACTTTAAAAAGAAAATCTAAGGCCAAATTTCTTGAGTTGATTGTAAGCAATATAAGTTCACTCAAGTTTAAAGATCAGCACAAACTCAAAATCTTTTAGGATAGTGGACACATTCAAATAGGTTTATACTTCAAACAAGGGCAATACAAAGAAATAAAAAAGACTTTTCCTTCTTTGCTGAATATTCTCCTTTGCCCCCAGAATCATTCTCTACTCTCTAAGTGCTCTGCCCAGAGAGGCTGATCTGCACGGCCAGCATCAACTGGACTCCCTTGCCTGCTGGCTTCTCATTGGTTTGACTAATGAGAAGCAGGAAATAAGAAGGAGGGAAGATAAGGAGAGACATTTATCTTCTTGGGTTCTTCCCTCTAGACTACAGGCTGGCAGTGACTGTGTTGCTGCTCCTACTGAAAAGACCCTCTCTCCTATCTTCAGCTCTTGCTGGTTCTTAGTAACATGATACCCCATCCTCTTTAGGCTTACGAACAGAAATAGCTTTAAACTGTTGCTAACCCAGGGGTCCTTCGCCATGCCTTTTTTATTTTTCTTAACTCTGCCCCACTCTTGTAAATAGTCCTTTCATTAACCATAGTGACAATTCTTGGATGATGGAAAAAATAACTGAATTTCAGCAATAAATAAAATAATACAAAAAATATAATACACTTATATACCTAAGAGGGAAAAAAACTATATTATCAATTAAGGAAAAATGAAGATGTGCAGAACAAATAAAAAAATATAAACTTAAGAGACAAAGAGAAAAGCAGATACATTAAAAAAATTTTTAATCCTAAATATAAATTGCTTAATTATTCTTTATTTTTTATGTGATTTTTTTCTAAGTAGACTAGAATTAATGTTGACAAGAAAGTTTTTTTTAATTTTCATCCTAAACTATTTATTTCTCATTATCTATATTTTTACAAAGCCCTGCTACTGTAGCCCAAGGTATTAGCTCAAACTTGTACTTTTACTGCCACCTTCCCTTTTCCATGGGAGCTATGCATTTACTGTATCCAAGTATGTATTATGTTATGCTCCTAACACACATACAGTGGCACATGGACCCTAAGATTGCCCCCAATAATCTCTGCTTCTCGTATTTATGCCCTTGAGTAATCTCTCCTTTGAATATGGACTGGACCAAATGATTTACTTCAAAGGAACAGAACATGGCAAAAGTGATGATTTTGGAGTTACAAGAAAACTGTGGCTTCCATCTAGGGTGCTCCATCCTGCTATCTCACTTATTTGCTCTACGAAATGCCAGCTGCAATGTTGTAAACTGCCCTCTGAAGGACCACATGGCAAAGAATTGTGAGAGGTCTTTAGGCAACAGACACTAGAAACAGAGGCCCTCAGTCCAACTGCCCACAAAGGATTAAATTCTTCCAACAATCAGGTAAGTGAGTGTACAAGTGGATCTTTCCCCCGTCAAGCCTTCAGATGAGCCTTCAGCCCCAACCAACACTCTGACTGTAACCTCATGAGAGATCCTGAGTTAGAAGCACCAGGTAAGCTGTGTCTGGATTTCTAATACACCAAAACTGGGAGAAAATAAATGGTCGTTGTTTTAAGCAGTAAACTTTTAGTTATCAGCTATGCAGCAATACATACCTAATATACATATATCATCAGGCATTTTAGTCCTTTCTTAAATTGATATTGCTATAGAAATACAACCTTGCAAAAACCAATAGCACTAAGGGAAGGGTAACATTTTAAAACATCAAAATGTGTGGTCTTTCTTTTTAAAAACATGTTATGAAGGAGCAGGAAAGAGAAAGAAGTCTAGCTAAAATTAGGAATTGTTCAATAAATAGAAGCCCAAAAGTAAACAAAAGAGAAATGAAAGGATAAAACTAATTAACTAGAGCTAAGATTTTAAAAGGTTTAAATGAGAAGTTAAAATGTATAGCACCCAAATAAAAAAAAAAACTGTCTTACAAATATTGTGATTTTATAAATTTTTAAAATATGCATTCTCTAGTTCTACTTTTCCCATCAAAAAGAAGATGGGAATAGGGTTAACCAATATTAGAATTTTAAGAATAGGAAACTGTTCTTAAAGGGAACAAGAATTAAGGAAGGAAAAGAATTAATGAATGATAATATAAAAAGCTATATAGCTTTTAATCTGTATATTTGATGACTTGCTCTTAGAATACTAAATAAATTGTATAAGTTTCTTGATAACCGCTTGTCATAATTGTTTAAAACAACATATCTGTAATATATAGAAATTATAAATATACTATGATTTTGATTTTAACTATTAAAAGAAGGTAATCCTCAAAGTTACTGATTTTAAAGCTTACCTTTAGTGATGAGGGGAGAGAGGAGGACTCATCAAAAACTAGGAAGATAAAATATAGTTCTCAGAGATATTAGATGGGCATTCAAGTAATTGCAAGGTCAATATTCCACACTTATCAATAAATCAGTGTCAACCTATAAAAACATAATGGTCCAAGGTGAACTGGATTCAATTTGGGATGTAATGAGATTGAGAATGACTGATTAGCGGAACATGCTCTTTGTCAGAAGAACACATATTCAGAAAGACATTGTTATATATTAGAACTGGTAGGGAAAATACAGAAATTCAGTACAGTAACCTTATATGAGGTTAGGTTAGCAAATCACAATAAAAATTACCCTTAAGATCCCTTAGAAAGGGTCATGGAAATATAGATTGTATCATCTCCCAGTGAGTCTAACTCAGCCAGTCCTTCTCCAACACCAAAACCAGATGAAGAAGTTGGAGCATGTTGTGCAAAATCACGTCTCTCTCATCACTAAAGTCACACCCAGCATAGCAAGAGGCTCACAACCTGACTGAGAGGCACAAGGCAGCCGAGATGACTGAGGAGCACACGTTCACACCTCACATCATAGGCTTGCTATCATAATAGATCTCTCTCTCTCTTCCCCCTTCTCTCTCATTATCTCCCTCCCTCCCTCCCTTCTTTTCTCCCTCCTTCTCCCTCTCCACTCCCCTAATATACTGTGCATAGACTTCAGAAAATCAAGGAAAATGTTATCTTTGTAACATCTCTGAAGAGCTGCCTAGCCTTTACTTCTCCTGCACCTGTGTTACTTACCCTGAATTTTCTAAGATAGTACTAGGGAATGATCTAAAATGGTTTTCGAATATGAAATAAGAAGATTGAGTTCTTCTACATGCAAATACTCCTTTAGAGATACCACTTAACACCATATTTCCACCATTCATAGTAACTATGATTCTACTCCATATTCATTGCAATGATTTCCAAATTCCAGGGCTGTGTAATTCTTGCAAAGGTTCTGGGAATCCATACGCACCACTGAGCATTGTCATTAGACTTAACAAGTTAAAATAAACACATGTACTCTGATAAATGTTTCATTTTTCAAATAGGTAGACATGATTGTAATTGGCTAAATCCATACACATTTTATATATTTTTGTTTTAAAGATTTAGAATGAGCCTACTCATTTGCTTCCCATCCTCCTAAAAAAATCCTATGATGAAAATTAGACAAACAATAATTATAAGAAAAAATGTAGCATAGGAAAATCAGGAAGTCATAAATAAACCATACTTTTATAAAAAAATTTGTTTGAAGAATATGAACAAATGAGATCAAACTTTTCCAAAACAAACACAGGAGAGATTCCTTGCAACCAATGAAGTAAGGTGGACAGTTTTCTCCAACAGATTGTTAAAAATTGACCTGCTCAGAATTCAACCACAACAAAAGATTAACACATAACATTTCTGACCCAGAGTTCATTCAAAAAAACACTTTTCAACTATGCACAGACCTCACTAATCATCAGGAAAATGCAAATCAAAACCACACTGACTATGGCCTGCTTCTTGAAAACCTCAAACTTTCGTCATCCCATATTTAAGAAACAGCAGTGATTTAAGACTCTAGAGGCAGATGTTTGATTTCAAATCCCATCTCCTAGTTCTGTGATTTTGTTCAAGTTCCCCATCCTCTTTGTGATCCAGCCTCCCCATCTTTAAAATGAGAAGGACAATAGGACCTACTTCCTAGGGTCATTGTGAGAATTGGTAGTTAAAATAAAGCTTGATTCCAAGTCCCTACCACATGACAAGCACTCCATACGTATCATCATCATTATTATTAACTGCTCACCAGGTGTTTGCTGAATCTGTTACAGTCCACGGTGTCAGGCATTCCAAAGACACACTGCTCTCTTGACTCATCTTTTATTTGATTGATAAATTGTCATGACAAATTGGTTTCCATAAATTAGTGAGAGATATTTGTCACTTCATCAAAATGAAGTGTTTCCCTAGGTTTAAAAAAATCAACTTCTATATAATTACCAAATAGCTACTCTTCAGAGTCAAAGAATAATTTTGTCACAGAAGGAGCTTATTAAAGTCATCAAGTCACTCTGAAAGGAGATTCCAGCCACTGAGACTCATTTTCAGATGGTGTTTACAGTCTCTCCCTCTGGTGAAGAAATGTATTTTAATAAGACATTTAAAATCTTGATCACTGTCTTTAGAATTTTTACTCATTCAGACTCACACAGCTTGAAGCATTTCATCTCATAGCTACAGCACCTATTATCAAACCATGCCTTTTTTTCCTTCTTTAGAATGTCACAGGAAGGGAAAAAATATATACTTTTCCTAGTCATAATTTTCTAAACAGACATTTGGAATTTTATTACTTAGCACCTAGCTATATATATATATATATAAAAGCCTAAGCGACCATTACGACTGGACGACCGGAATGACCAGCCAGCTGGCCGGTAGCTATGACACGCACTGATCCAGACCTTGCTGAGGAGGCCCTGACAGTCCTGAATCTGGTTCACCCACATCCCGGACCCAGACAGGAGGGAAGAGGAAATCTGATTCCTCACAGAATTATCTGTGCCTTAGCTTGCTGCTGGGGCCCTGACACCCCTGAATCTGGTTCAATCACACCCTGGACCCAGACAAGAGGGAGGAGAGAACCCGATTCCTCCCAGAATCGGCCGTGCCTTAGCTTGCTGCTGGGGCCCTGACAGCCCAAATCTGGTTTACTCACACCCCGGACCAAGACAGGAGGGAGGAGGGAGCCCAATTCCTCACAGAATCAGCCGTTGGTTAGCGTGCTGCTGGGGCCAACCTCCCATGGTCCCTCCCTCCGGCTAGCCATGGTCCCTTCCCCCTGCGGGCCAACCCCCTGCCATGAGTCCCAATCGCCAGCCAAGCCAAGGGACCCCACCTGTGCACAAATTTGTGCACCAGGCCTCTAGTATCAGTAATAATGTCAAATTCTCTACAAGATGAAGAACAGAATAAAATAATTCTAAAGTTTAAAAAAAATCCCACAATGAGATACTACTTTATACCAGTCAGAATGGCTATTATCAAAATACAGTGGGGCCTTGACTTACGAGTGTCCTGACTAATGAGTTTTTTGAGATACCAGCTATCTCTCGGCCAATTTTTTGCATTGAGTTGACAGAGTAATTTGAGTTAACGAGCTCCTTAACGAGCTCGGCCTCGGAAGGAATTAAACTCATAAGTCAACCCCCCACTGTAACATGTTGGCGAGGATGTGGAGAAAAAGGAACCCTCATGCAAACTGGTGCAGACCCTATGGAAAACTGTATGGAGATTTCACACAAAAAATAAAACTAGGTATACCATATGACCCAGTAAGTACACTTCTGGGTATTTACCCCCCCCCCAAAAAAACAAAACATGTCTGCATTCCCACCAGTAGTGCATGAGGGTGCAGCCACCGTGGAGAACAGTATGAAGTTTCCTCAAAAAACTAAAAATGGATCTCCCATTTGAACCAGTGATCCCACTTCTAGGAATATATCCCAAGAAACTAGAAACACCAATCAAAAAGGATATATGCACCCTATGTTCATAGCAGCACAATTCACTATAGCTAAGATTTGGAAACAGCCTAAGTGCCCATCAGCAGATGAGTGGGTTAAAAAAAGGTGGTACATCTACACAATGGAACACTATGCTGTGGTAAAAAAGAAGGAATTCTTACCATTTGCAACAGCATGGATGGAACTGGAGTACATTATGCTAAGCAAAATAAGCCAGTCAGAAAAAGATAAATATCACATGATCTCACTCATTGGTAGAATATAATGAAAAACATAAACTGATGAACAAAACAGATCCAGAGACAGAGAAGTATCAATCAGACTCTCAAACCTCAGAGGGAAGGTAGGGGAGGGCAGGGGAAAGGGGGAGAGATCAACCAAAGGACTTGTAGGCATGCATATAAGCCTCACCAATGGACATAGACATCAGGGAGGTGAGGGCATGAGTGGAGGGGTAGGGGGGCAATTGGGGGATAAGGACACATATGTAATATCTTTATCAATAAAGAAAAAAACATGAACACTAATTAAAAATATATATATATATATATATATATATATATATATGCACCCCCATGTTCATAATAGCCAAAATATGGAAGCAATCTATGTGATCATTGATAGATGAATGGATACAGAAGATGTGAAGACACACACACACACACACACACACACACACACACACATAGACACAATGGAGTATTACTGAATAAAAAAAAGAATGAAATCTTGCAATTTGCAACAACATGGATAGACCTAGAGCAGTGATGGCGAACCTTTTGAGCTCGGCGTGTCAGCATTTTGAAAAACCCTAACTTAACTCTGGTGCCATGTCACATATAGAAATTTTTTGATATTTGCAACCATAGTAAAGCAAAGACTTATATTTTTGATATTTATTTTATATATTTAAATGCCATTTAACAAAGAAAAATCAACCAAAAAATTGAGTTCGTGTGTCACCTCTGACACGCGTGTCATAGGTTCACATCACTGACCTAGAGGGTATTATGCTAAGTGCAATAAGTCAGGCAGAGAAAGACAGATACTATATGGTTTCACTTACATATGGAATCTAAAAACAAAATAAAACAAACAAAACAAAAACAAACTCAGAGAAACAGAGACCAACTGAGTAAAACGCTCTTAATACAAAAGACACCCTTAAAAACAAATGACACAAAAGGGTGAACACAATATATCTACTATATAAACAGGTCAGCTATGACAATATTCATAATACTATAAATTTAAAGCAAAAAAATAAATGGCGCAAAGATAGATAGTTTATATTGATACAGGTATAATTCAAGAAGACATAAGCACTTTTATATACCAAAACACACAGCATCAAATTACAGAAAGTAAAAACTAAGAAATATGAGAAGAATCTCATGAATCTAAAATGCCAGTGGGAGATTCTTGTCTCAGAATTTGTTAGCTCCTCAGACAAAGAAATAATATGTGAGGATCAAAATAATATAATTAATAAACTTGATTAATAAACAAGTTTATACCTTTAATTCTTTATAAAGTTCATCAATATCTA